CCGAGTATAGAAATCAATAGTTCCTTCAACACTGCCAAATTACGGTGCATGTTTCTAGGTGCTTCTATGGTCCTCGTTTAAAACAGGGATAAACTTTGAAGGCTAACCTCAGCAGTGATTGTATACTCCTTCGGATGCCTTTATGGTGCATCTTATGTTGATCGAACAGCATGACAACTATCTACTCGGATCAAAGAGCATTTGTTACCCACGCTGGTTAAGACTAGGACAGACCCGATCAATGCAGTTTAATCCTAACCCACTTAGTTTACATCTAACATAAAATAAATCCTGACATCGCTTCAAAGTTTTTATCATGTCCCTCACGCCAAGTGCCAGGGTGTTCAACTACTCATTTTAGCATCAGCCGAGAAGACCGGAATAGGAAAGTTGATCCCTAACCTCTGCTCCTCAAAGCAGTTGCTTGGTTCAGTTACTACAACTTTCATGTTCGTGATCGATCAGGCCGGTTAGTTACCGCCGTTCAGCCACCCGAGGACGTAAGCCGGGTAAACTAAAAAAGTGACAGAAGCAAGTTGATCGTGACACAACCTCTTGCCCATAATGGTTTGTTGTGCCCAACTGCGTGATCTGTTTTCTATATAGCGTTATCTATGATATCTGCGAACGGCTTGGGGAATGAATTGCAGAAAAACAATTGTTTCTTCAGATTGCATTTGTTTTATGGGTATCGTTCAGACAAACGGGCCTGAAGGGGGCATTTTGGTATAAACCAGAGGCTGGTCTGTCTAGATGCACTCACCTCATCACGAGTGGGCAAGCTCAGGGTGTAATTAATTGTATTCCGTGCCAAAAGTTTAGTATTCACCGGATACTGATTAGAAACCGGAACGGAATAGGGCAATGAGATTTGAGAAGCCATGGGGACGTGATCAGACTGCACGATGGGTCTCCGAAAGCTGCAAAAATGAGATATGATGATTTAAGTGGAAAACAGCACAGTAAAAACATGATCAATACATAGTTCAAAATACATCTCTGTGTACATGATAGTTCTCTACCGTCAGGCAATCCTTGAGAAAGAGACCATCAACTAAAAATGTGGGCGTGATAACCGCTGCTTAAAGGTGACATTCTAATTCAATCAAGATCGATTTTCTCGCAAGGGTTGACATAACAAGTTACGACTGAGCAGTTGTGTTAGGCTCCGAAAGCCGATCATGTTCGCAATCTATTGGGTATCATGATAATGCAGCCAGACGGTCAGAATAAGACCTGGTATGAGATACTATGGAAACCCGAACCTCGTGGTCAAGTTGATCAATGGTTAGCGACACAGAGCGACATAATTGAGTGTCGTAAACATTAGCGCTAGCGGATAGATCCAATATCTATACAGCTTTATGGTTGACTTACTAGCCAACTTGTTTATTTCCAGATGTTTTTATTTGTACATGAGCCATTATCTAGTATGACTAATAGTCCTGTATATCCATAAGAGAGTGCCGAGATGAGGAGAG